TGATATTCGAAAAAAATAAATCACAAGTTTGTTATTTTTTAAAATGTAATTTGAAATCTTTGTAGTTATGTATTTTTTTTTTTCCAAAACATAATCAATGTATAAGGGTTTGTGTTAGTCCCTTTGATAAGATTGGGTTTCTAAGACGAGACGAGACTTCGAGTCTAGTATTAGAGCTAATTAAGCTCGAATGAGCATATCAATCCTGACAAGTGTTCTAACGAGCAACCTAATTTCAAAATTGATATTCTTGAACAAGTCAAGGTTTTGCGGCATCATGTTAAAGGTAAATTTCACATCATAAACTATAAAGGCTTTTATTACTCATTTTTAGTGTTGTAAAACATGTTATCATCTTGCGGGAGCATGCTTAAGGTAAATTCAACATCGAAGAAAAGATACAATAAATGATAATAATTTTGATTATTTCTCATAGCTAAGGGATGGCAATAGGGCTCGTCGGCTCGAACCGCTCGTAGCTCAGTCTGAAAAAAACTCGAGCCGGCCCAACTCGAGGCTCGAGCCAAACCCCATTTCAAGGAGTCAACTCTAGCCGGGTCGGCCCGTAAAACAAAATCTGTTGCCTTAATTGGTAGCTAATTTGCTGCCAACCTGCAGCTGGTTAAGGCAACTAAGAGGAGAAACAAATCCAGAAAATCGAGTTGGCTCGAGTCTAGTCTTAAATTTTTGGCCAAGTTTTTGCTTGACTTGGTTTGGGCCAAAAAAAGCCCGAGCCGAGAGTTTCAGCTCGACTCGTTGACACTCCTACTCCTAACAAAGTTAATCTTTTAAGATGGAATTCAGGAGTTAATATCATAATTATGTGTTATATACTAGAACGCTACAACTACAATCCCCAATATGTTTGCGTTGCAAAAGCAAGAACTCTGTGAATGCTTTGAAATGAAAATTTCGACCTAAAAAAGAATTTAAGTTATTTATTTTAAATATGTTTTGATAATTTACTTTTATTGTTTAAAAATTTAGTGTTAAAAAATATTGCATGCATGAGTAACAAATGAGACGTTAGACACGTCAAACCATACTTTAAATTAGGTTGTGTTAAGTCCCTGTTTAGTGCAACTTAAAAAGTTGATAAAATATAATTTAAAATCAACAATAAATCTTAACCCACATTTCAAGATTTTCACAAATTTGTTTTATCAATTTCTCAATCACATATTTATCATTTTTATTAAAATTTACTCAAAATTAAATTTTAGCCATACCAAACAGGGTCCAAGTGGCACTTCACTTGAATGCTATTTCAAACATGATTTATGAATCAAAATTATTTTATTATAAAAAATAAAAACTTACTAATCAAAATTTACGTGTATTAGGACCATGCGACATCATAGTTGTGTGAATAATGCTATTTTATTATTATAATGATAAAACATTGGTGATGTGACAATTTATGTGAATGATGAAATTGGACAGTTCAATTTTTATGAGAGAGAAGGAGGAGACGTGGTTTCAAGAGAGAGAGAGAGATGGATTGCCTCATTATCGATCTTCCATCATCATAATGATAAATAACATTCTCTCGTGTAGCTATACTCCCACAACATTTTTGGTTAAGTGCAAAACATTTTAATTGTAAGCACGTCCTTAATTTTTGCTTATTTTTGTAATTATGTCATCAATTTTTTTGTAGCATTCTCATCTTAAACTTTTTATTAATTAGCGCATCTTGTCTATAATACAGATTTTGTCCAAATATTCTGTGAGTGTGAAATTTTATGAATATTTGTGTCGGTTATTTATCTTGCTTATTGAAAAATATGAGGGGAAATTAAATCTTTTTATTCTCTGATAAGCAATTCTTTTAATATTCATTATGGAGAAGGTGTGTTAATCAATTTTAATATTCATTTTGTAGAAGGTGTGTTAATCAATATAGGTTAATGATAAAAATAAATAAATAAATAGTCGGGGAAATAAGTATCAAAATGAATAAAAATTAGGAACCTCTCTTGTAATTAAAATGTAGTGCAATTAAAAAAAAATGCCATCAGAGTATAATTACCCTTATTTTTTTATACATGAAATAAAAATATGGGAAAAAATCACAATTCAGGGGTATAGAATACCCCAAATCAAAAACCCCCATAATGATTGTAAATTTAAATGTCCGGCGTGTGTGTGTGTGTGTATAGCGATAAAGATAGAGAGAGGAAGATTCTGTTTCCTACAATTAAGCTCGCTTACCATATATAATAGGAGTCCAAATGTAAAAAATCTGTAACCAAAAATTCCAAAAAATCTGCTGAATTTCATTATGCACGGCAACGAAATTGATGTTGCTGATTGATTTTACTACAAATTGGTCGATTTCATTACTCTATCAAGTCACAGAGATTGGTGTCGATTCCATAAACATGAAATAATCGCCGGAGAAGCCAATCCAAGTAATAATATGAATGTTTTTCGGTCGATTAGAATGTCACATTCCGAACTGAATTTCGTAACACGAATTGGTCCTAAAATCATTGTTGCAGGGGACAGAAATCATTGCTGGCCACAGAAGTGCTGATCGTCCCTGGCTAATAGTCCTAAAATCATCGTTACAGGTAATAGTGTATTTTGCTGCGATCACAACTTAAAATCAACAATCACGAGACTAATGTCGTTCGTCACAAAATTAGTATAATATCTAACTTGTAGGTCACAGCAGCTCATATCGTTGTTAGCTGGTTTCTCATCACATGTTGCTATTTAGTAGACGTCTGTGTCACATGCGTGAACTGTATGTGTAAATGTGACCTGATTTGTGAAACTGTAACCTCTATACTGTCAAATGTGAAGTGTGTCAACAACTATGTCCATGTATTTAGCATCAAACATGTCGTTATTCACTTCGAGCATATGCGACCTCTGTGTAACAATGTAGGAGAAGTCATGCGTGACCTGCTCTGTGAAACTGTGACTTGACTTGTGATCTGTAACCTATTTGATGTAACATGTTTCGCCCACAATGTGTTGAGAATGTAAAATCAAACATTTCTTCATTCGTTGTGAGCATATGTGACTCTCGGTCAACTCTGTAGTCTGGATGATACCAATCTGTGACCCAGCTTGTGATTGTCTTATCTATAACTATTTGTAACCTAGTTTGCTAATTTGTGACCTCGTTGCTGTGCAATGTGACATATGACATATTTCACATATGATGAAATTATTGATATTAATTCTAATTTGTAGAATGGTGTAATTGCACGTATGTTTACTGTATGGAATGCAATCCTCATTAGTGTTGGTAGCTCGCAACTGTAGTTATTTAACCCTTGTGAAAACAATGATGACAAAATTTGCTCTGGATCCTACGAAGGTAGCTGTGTCATTGAAGTACATATTGAAGGAAGATTTGCTTCCCATCAGGATTAAAAATGACAATAATGTACTATCATACGTTCTGCTAAAGGACGTGGAGTGTGAACCTGCTAAATATCCGATAATCGTTGACGTTGCTGAGGCAGAAATAGATAATACATCCATCACAGTGTCAGTCAATGCGCATTCCAATGGTGAGATGTTTACATTGCAAGACATGGCATTAGATATATGTGAAGCATCAAATGAAAAAATGGGTCACATTCGTGACACTGAAGTCACAATTGTGTCTATCGCGGATGCTAGAGAGATAGAAGAAGGAAGGGTGTTCCGTAATAAGGATGTTTTGACAATGAGTCTATCATTTTTTGCCATACAGAGCATGTTTGAGTTTATGGTTGAACGGTCCGACAAGAGAGAATATGTTGTGCAGTGTTCGAATGGTGGATGTAGTTGGATATGTAAATCCTCGATATGGGGTAAAACAGATCTATTTAAGATTCGAAAGATTGGTAGTCACACATGTGCATCAAATGTAGTATTGGGGTCACATAGGCAAGTGTCATCTACAATTAAGTACAAGTACACATCGTCCCGTACTATATATATATACCAAAGGACATATGCAGTGACATGTTGAATACTTATGGGGTTTATTTGAGTTATTCAAAAGCTTAGAGATCCCGCGAGCAAATTTTGAAAATGATTAAGGGTAACCCGGCCGAGTCATTTGGTAAGTTGCCAAGCTTCTTCTACATGCTCTGACAGAAAATCCTGGTTCGATCACAGAAATAGAGATTGATAGTCACTGTAAGTTCAGATATTGTTTTATGGCATTAGGTGCATCAATACGGGGATGGGAGCATTGTAGACCGGTGATTGTTGTTGATGGTACATACTTGAATGGTAAATATGGAGGTATACTTTTCACAACATGTACACAATATGCAAAAAATAGTATATTCATTCTTGCTTTTGGAATTGGAGACAATGAGAACGACAAATCTTGGAGATAATTTTTCGATAAGATGAAGAAAGCGTATGGAAACAGAGAAGGGCTGTGTTTTGTGTCGAACCGTCACCCCAGTATAAAGAATGCAATAGAACATGTGTATCTGGGAGACTATCACGGTATTTGTTCTTATCATTTGTTGCAAAATCTAAAATCGTATTATGGAAAGTCAGGTGAAAACATTACACAAGCATTTAATTCGACTATCCGCGCTTACATGTTGGAAGAATATGATTATAACATGTCTCTGCTGATTACAATGAATGAGAAGATAATTTCTTACCTGGTAGTGTAATTAGTCTTATTTCATTTCACATACATATAAATGGTCACATATGATATTTACATAATGAACTTAATGATTGATTTAAGTTTGCAGACTGATGTTGGACCTGAAAAATGGTCACGAATACATATGCCAACAAACAGGTATTCTACAATGACATCAAACATTGTAGAATCGGTCAATGTGGTCACAAAGGCAGCCAAAAATTACCCTATTGGTTCCCTCCTAGAGTCATTACGGCAAACCATACAATCGTGGTTTTGTAGACACAGGAATGATGCACGTGGAACTTTCACAAAGTTGTCGAGCAAGTATGAGAAAGGAAATAGGAAAATGAGCATGGATTTGAGAAACTTGAGGGTCATTTTTTATAATTTAACATTGAGATGTATATGTGACCCAATGTAAGTGTTAGTATCTTGAATTGTAATGTATCAAATCTGATGTGACCTGTTTTGTGATTCTGTGACCTGATTGGTAAACTAAGTTTGAAGCTCCATATTCTGTTTCATAGCTATCTGTGAATGGAACAAATTTGGGTAACCTGATATGTAAATCTATGACCTAAGTGATGTGGTATGTGATGTAACTGTGTATTCTCTGTCAACTCTGTATTTTGATGCATGTCTATCTGCCAAATGAGGTATGGACCGCATATGTAACACGTTTCCTGAATCTGTGAATGAACTTAGGGATATGAGTCATTCGTGCGTGATCGACACGTTGGAGTATATGTGACATGTATTCAACTACATGTGACCTGACTGTTGTTATATGCACGCAGGTATCTCCTTCAATCCAGACAGTGTTTTCTGTCAGCAACGAAAGGTCGACGTTTGTCGTCAATATTGAGCAACGAACATGCACTTGTAGGATTCTACAAGTTGATTTGTTACTGTATCTACACGCTTTGACTGTAATTGCAAACACAAGAAGAGATCCGTATAATTACTGTTACTATTATTACACAAGAGATGCATAATTGAATGCATACCAAAATTCTGTATATCCAATTGGAAATCAAGAGGAATGGACAGTGCCAGAAGAAGTACAGTGAGAAATAGTGTTACCTCCTACCAAAAGAGGAGTTGTGGAAGACCTACGGAGAAAAGAAAGAAATCATCCAGAGAAGGGAAACCGATGGCAAAATGTGGACGTTGTGGAGGACAGGGTCACAACCGTAGGAGATGCTCCAGCTTGGTTCCATTACGCTAAAATGATCGATAGAATTACATAGAAATATTTCATAAATATGTGATATTCTTTTAAGGATAATGTTCATTTTAAATAGTCTCTTTAAAGAATGCATTCAGATTGATCAACTTACAGTTAATTGTCTATCAATTTTGGAGTCAGAATAATAATTCTCTGGGATTTGGACCATATCTGTAACCTGATACCAGATTTGTGACATGTGTGCTATGACCAGTAATGCCTGACATGCCGTATGAAAAAGTTGCTTGATTTGTGAATATGTAATCTGAAATGAGAATATGTGACCTGAAGTGTGGACACATACCATATGTAACTTGAAATGAGAATATGTGACCTGAAGTGTGGACACATACGGGTTACATAAATCAAAATATCTGTAACCCATGTGCTGTGACATGTGAAGTGTCATATGAAAGGTATGTGTGACGTGATATGTAAATCTATGACCAAGTTCAGAATCCAAATGTGATCTATCTGCTCTACCATATGACATGTTTCACCGACTACGTGTTGTTGTTAGAAATAAAGAATCTGTATAATTTACACAATTTATATAAAAAATAGCGTTAAAATATAATCGAAGATGGACAAATCATGAACCTAAATACGTTAATATCCTTTACTGCAAATCAAAGGTTACGAGTTATAATTCATTACATGAAACTCTATCGACCAGACACATGCAATGTTCATAACATTTACAAACGAAATCCTTGTCTTCACTAACAAATTTAAAGCTATTTTTCATTCTATAACAACCGCTTCCCCCGTCATAGGCTGATTTACTTTCTTTGTGTAAACCTGTCGGTGTTTGTAGAGCAGCGTAGCAATATCTATTCTCAACTTGCTGGCATCAAACTTCTAGGGAATGGAACATCTACCACCACGGATAAGATACAACGCATATAACACCATGAATATCCCGCAATCATGACTGCAGAACATATGACAGACTGTTATGAATGAATCCATCAAAAGGATATACGCATTGTAAATATTGGTTACAGACTTACCCATTTGTTTGCTGAAGGAGTGTGTCATAAATTATCACTTTCAATTCCTTGGCTTCTGTCTCATGATAATCAAGATCCTTCTTTGAAATTATTAGGGTATTCATTAGAGCAGGCAATACCTTCACGTACGGCTCAATACCTTGCAAAACATTCCAGTCACGGTAAGATTTACCTGCCGAGTTGAACACACTCAAGGTATGACTTCTGAATTGTAACCGGCCAAACATTCATTGTGCTTTGTTAGTGGGTATGATCGGCATAAACACAAAGTCAACATCGGCTCAGGGTGAGCTAAAAGGGAGGTTGTGACCTATTGCAACCTCAAGCAGGCTTGACTCTAACAGCAGAACATTTGGGTCCTTCATGAAGGTAGGAAAAATGTCTTTCATTTTCATCTGAAACCATGAGTTTGTAGTAGTGGCTCTGTATTTCACATTTTTGCCAAGTTTTGCTATCTGGCGAATGAAGTAGAAGCAGACATCCATGTGCTGTTTCAATGAGAAGAAAAGATGTAAGCATTGCGTACTTCAGACCGGATACGAATATAAAACGTGACCTGTTTGTATCAAATGTGACTTTGTGACTAGTTACAATATGAAATGTAACATGTTTGTATCATCTCTGATACTCTTCTTAACGAGTATGAAAGAAATTGAATTCTAAAAAAAGTAATGTAACTTAATTGAGTGGGTAAATGTAATCGTACCATACCACTCAATGATGACTCCGAATTTATAAGCTCATGGAATCAGGTCTTATGACCTACTGGGAATGAACCAATTAGAAAAACAGGCTTGATTGCGTCATCTTCCTCGCTAAACTTTTTCCTGTGACTAGCACTAAAGGTTACATGTGTTTTGTCAAACTGTGTATTGAATAAATTTTAACAGATAGGTACGAAATGCACTTACTTGTTTTTTGGTTTGTACCCCCTCTGGAACCAACCCATGAAGGCCGATTTGTCAACCCTGTCAACATTGTTTTTGTAATCCTCGAAAACGACAACATTATCATCGTGTTTGAATAATTTCCCTCTCTCCTGTCCGGCAACAAAAGGTGACTGCAATACCCTTGATGGCCTTAAAACCCGCTTAACTGGTAATTCTGAGGTTGGTTCAGCAGTAGGTGATCCCTGTATGTTATTGCAGCAGGTTACAAAATAGATTGAAAATACGGCACATGAGCTGTCTATGGCGTAGTTCGTATGTGGTCTGTCACCTATACATGTGACCTAAGGTAAATGTGTCTGTGATAAGTGACATATGATTGGAAGATAGTTTGGAAGGGTGTATGGCCTGTGACCCATAAATAAAACGTGGTTTGGAATGTATGTTATATGTGACCTATGAATAGGACATAGGATGAAGGAATCTGTGGTCTGTTACCTAACAATGTGACATGATTTGAAGGTATTTGTGCTCTGTAATCCATGACTGGAACATGTGTTGGTATTGTGTATAATCTGTGACCTATGAAAGCGACATTGTTTGGAATGTCTGTGAAATGTAGCCTATGAATAGGACATGATCTGAAGTGTGTGTGATTTGTGACCTAATAATAAAACATGGTTTGGAGGTATGTGTGATTTAAGATTTACAACTACTGGAACATGTAAATACCTCATTCTCTACAATCTTTGTTGCGGTCACCACATCAGATATGATGGAATCTACCCTCTTCTAAGTTTCCTCCGAATGCAAAACATTGGGTGGGATGAATTCAATCCCCAAATCAAATGATGGTGGCTCAAGGGAGAAGAGAAGATCATCACTTGGATCCATTTTGCCCTTCCCTTTTCTGTCGACGTTTGATACTACATTTTTCACCTACATGTTGAATGAAAAATGTCAAAATGAACTGTGTTATTTTACAAAAATGTAAAATATATCAAGTGACTACCTCCTGAGCCTTTTCAGATCCACCAGCCCCATGACGTTCTTGATCTCCAACTCCAGGAGCTTCTTTTTATCCTATTCCATGCTCGCTTATCCTGTTACCTAATCGTCTAATGATCTTGTCCATTGCACTGGATATCATTGTTGACACAAACTCAGATAGAAACTGCATGTTCATCCGAATATCCATTAGGTCACTTTTAATACAGGCTTGCATTTGAATAATGTCATCAATTTTGTTAGTCTTCCGTTCAAAGATGACATATGTGACTTGATGTCTTCAAGCTCCATCTTCAACACTTTATTATCCGCCTGGAGTTCAAATACTTGCACACGCAACACCTCAAAAGCCTGACAAAAATGAATAACTGATTATTATATGTTGCTTGCGACATATCTGTGACCAACCATCAACATACAATGCACATTGGTCTATCTGTGACCTGATGTGTATGAAATGTGACATAGGAAATATTGAAGTGTGACCAATGATGGAAATATTGAGAGCTGACTAAAATAACAACTTACGTCATCCCTTTGTGCCCCATGAGATTGTGGCTCCTCTTGAGAATGATGAGCGGCTGTAGGATCTTCAACAACCGGGGATTTTCCACAGGCAGATGGCTCCTGTCGTCTTGGAGGAGGAACAACAAAATCATCGTCATCATCTGAAGAGTGAGCTTGTCCAATATTACTGTTCATCAATGGTAGGACTGATGGAACCAACTTCCCACTAGTACCGACATCTTCAACAGACCTCTCCGTTCTGCGCTTGGTTCTTCTTTGGCTCTCGATTGAGGACATCGATTGGATCGGCTTGTTGTATTGGACTCCGTTCATGTATGACATTGCCATTTCACTTTCCAACGGTTCCAAGTCACAAATCACAATCTGCAATACAATATGTTGTTTATATGAATGCAAAGACAAAAAT